GGGGGGGGGGGGGGGGGGGGTAAAAGGGAAGGTCTGAACTTCCTGTGTCTTTTACTCTCAACTCCCATCCCTTCCTCAGTGATGCATGCCATTTTTCTCCTTTTCTGTAGCACAATATTACGAAATGAAATTTTTTTCCCACATTGCATTTCTCCTAGCATCTGTCATCTCTTTCCCCACATCCATGCAGGCCTTCAAGCCAGCTTCTCACCAAGGTTCCATCCTCTCCAATGCCCCCCCCCACCCCTACTCCCACTCTGACTAACAGGTGCCTAAGCTGAAATACATTGTACATAAACATTCTAACTTGAGAGCCTAGAAGGTTGACTAGTACATACTTTTTAAAATATGTTTATTAATCACCTTGACTCCATGCACTTGATAATCCTGACATAGCTCCTGTGTTTGGCCAGCTTTTTCTTAATCTCATAGAAAAGGTGACGAAGCTGCATACACAATACTAAACTGGCCATACTTAAGAAGATATTTGACCAAAACTGTAATAGAACGGAAAAAGGACGGTTAAAAATTTTGCATACACAATGTAACTTTTGTACAAGCTATTTGTTGTCAGTGATGGTGCAGTCTTGGGGAGCAGGGATGGGCAGTGGTGAGAAAGCTCACTTCTCACCAACAAGGCCTGGGTTGCATTCCATTGGTTTTGAAAATGGATTGAGTTTGCTACTGGTTCCCACCTTGCATAGAGGGTGTTTTCTCTGGGTAATCAGGTTGCCCTCCCTGATAATTTAAATACAGTATTTTCAAATTCCAATTCTACCAGGATAAAGAACCCTTACGAAAACTACAATATTGTATGTGTAATCACTGCAGAGAAGAGTTTATCGTAAACAAATACATTGTATCAAAAGTGGTTTGCCACTCACCCCTCTCCAATTTATTATTTTGTTTGTTTAAAACCACTCACTCAAGATGACACCATTAATTTGAAACCTAGGTTGTTTTCAGCTTTCCTTGAATTCCATAAGAAAGCAAGATTCTCTTTAATACTATTTGTAATGTTATCAGTTTAAAAACCGCACTTTCACTGACTAGTTCTGTTGTTAGCCAATAATTTCTCACCAGCATGTGAAGGTGATGGGCAAAGTCCACAATGTACATTGCTAAATCCATCATCAAATCTGTGTTGTAACACCATGTGCTTCTTCCTTCCCACATGCTGGTATGACCAATGTCCCACAGATGGATGCCGTACCTAAACAGAACAGTTGGCTTGCTTGTAGTGTAATTCAACCCTGAAGTTATCACATTTAACCCTTTCACTCCAAGTATCAGACAGTGGGCCATTAATGCACAATGCACAATGTACATGTACATGTAGAGGTATTTAATTTTTTGGTTCTTTGGAGAAATTGCATGAAGTGTTTGACTACACCATTCAAAGCATGTGCAAGAGTTTACATTGTACAAGTTGTACACATGGTTCAAAAGAGATTAAACAGAGTTAAGTAAGGTTTGCAAGTCCTGCTTTACTTATTTATATTTTGATAATTGAGCCGTTATAACATGGATAAACCATACATCATGCACATGTACAACACTGTACTATAACTAATTGTCCCCTTCATGCCACGTGACACACAGAACTGCAACATCTTCTCTCCACCTCAATCTGTCCCTAGCTCTGTGCTCTGCCACAATCCATGAGTTCCAACCTTCCCTTGCTTCTTTGCCACATTTCACAAGGTCGCACTCTTCCTCACTTTCCATCAGGTGTCCAAGTCAGAGCAATATGAGGATTTTCGTCATGCCACAATGTTGTATTGTGTTTGATTATACATATTAAAGCTAACTGAGAAGTGCTTTTGTTCACACAACTTGGTATTTCTCTTAGATCTGGTGTATAATTTGTGTATGAAACAAAGGAAATTGCCAAATAATTTTATGCTTTACCTTGTAAGACCATGCAGTATCTTGATAAGTAATAACATACACTGAAAAAGAGGAAAAGATACTTGTCAGGATAAGTGACCAATTCTAATGAAAACAGACAACATTGCCACCACTTCTTCAAAATAATTATGTTCCCTTCCATACTTTTTCGAAATCATTAACTCATTTGCCCATTTTCACAATATCCGGAAGTTTAGTACTTTCAAGATCTTTACAAAGTTTGACATGCATGTACACTGAAACCAAAATGTGACCAAGATGTATTGGTAACCCAGGGTAACTGTGATGCAATGTGAACATGCGATGGTAATGTCAGGGAGTTGGGTGGAGATCTAGAGAGTTCTCAAGATTATGTGATACAGCTGTAATTCGCACAATAGGCCCTTTGCAGCTGGGGTCACATGACCAAATTTTTCCTAGAAAATTTTTATATTATGAGCTATAACTTAAAGAATGCCAGAAATGGAAAGAGTGCATCGAAAATACCAAAATGGCCAAGTTTGAGGCCACTGGAATGAAAGAGTAAGTTTATATGCCTGTTTGAATTTTTGGGAAAATTTAGAGGATTTGTATGGAAAATGTTGCTGGAGAGCAACGCCTTGCTCTCCAACAACTTTTTCCA